CTCCACCACCCCATTTATCCCCTAGCATCTCTGACCTAGGCTTCTCTACTGCAGTTTTGCCTCACGCTTCTACTCTCCTCTGGGCAGAGTTGGTGGCCACCGAACCCCTTCGTGTAGAATGAGGCCGGGACATGAGGGTCTCTCTGCTCCTTATCTTCTCTTTCCACAATGTTTCTTTCCCTCTTTCTGTCCTATCACGTCTCACTCCTACTTCTCTGCTTCCTGTGCCTGACCTCCTGAAATGTTTCCAGGTTCTGTAGAATACAGCGCTGGTTTCTCCTTGGCTTCCCCCTCTGCAGGCATCTCCTCAGCTCTCACAGCTTCTTCATCCACCTACCATTTTAAAATATTTTGTTATACACCTTGTCTGCTGTTGCCTATTCTCTCATCTCTCATTGTCTTTAACCTTTGGACCATGTCTAGTATAAAACTACTAGACTTGATTTTCTGACTTAAGAAGCAAAACCTCCCTAGGTACTTATACAACTGTCGAAAATGTAAAAAAATCAAAGTTTTTTTAAAAATTAAAAAAAAATTTTTGGCCACACCACGCATCTGGTGGGATCTTAGCTCCCTGACCGGGGATCGCACCCTCAGCAGTGAAAGTGTAGAGTTCTAACCACTGGACCAATTGTGGGACTTCCCTGGTGGCGCAGTGGTTAAGAATCCACCTGCCAATGCAGGGGACACGGGTTCGAACCCTGGTCTGGGAAGATCCCACATGCCACGGAGCAACTAAGCCCGTGCGCCACAACTACTGAGCCTGCACTCTACAGCCAGCAAGCCACAACTACTGAAGCCCATGTGCTACAACTACAGAAGCCCGCGCACCTAGAGCCGGAGCTCCACAAGAGAAGCCACTGCAATGAGAAGCCCGCGCACCTCAATGAAGAGTAGCCCCCGCTCACCACAACTAGAGAAAGCCTGCGCACAGCAACGAAGACCCAACGCAGCCAAAAATAGAAAAATAAATAAATTTTTTTTTTATAAAGAGACCAATTGGTTATCAACTTGATCAATCCCCCCCCTTTCATTTTAATTGGGTCTTTGATAAAAAGAAAGATAAATGCATATGCTCAATCTACCCGGTTCAACCAGAAGCTCTTCTAACATTACAACCCTTCTCACATCTGAAGTCAGCTTCCTGCTGGGTGTGTCTTCTCCATCTCCACATGCCCACTTCCTCAGTGGCTCTCACGGGACATGGTTATTACAGTCTCACTAAGGGTGTCACCTGCAGCATACTCTTCAGATGAACTTCTCAGAATGCCTATTTCATAAATATCCTGTCCAGATCTGCACACAGTTCTCCAGAGTGACAGGGGAAGTTTTCAGATATCCTTTTTAATTTAAAAAAAATTTTTTTTAAATTTATTTTATTGAAGTATAGTTGATTTACAATGTTGTGTTAATTTCTGCTGTACAGCAAAGTGATTCAGTTATACATATATATACATTATTTTTCATATTCTTTCTATTATGGTTTATCACAGGGTATGGAATATAGTTCTCTGTGCTATACAGTAGGACCTTGTTGTTTATCCATTCTGTATATAATATATAGTTTGAATCTGCTAATCCCAAACTCCCAATCCATCCCTCCCCCCCTCCCCTCCCCCTTGGCAACCACAAGTCTGTTCTCTCTCTGTGAGTCTGTTTTTGTTTCATAGATAAGTTCATTTGTGTCATATTTTAGATTCCACATATAAGTGATATCATATTGTTCTAGGGTGTGTATGTGACCCAGTGATTCTACCCTTTGTTATGACATAGCAGTAATGCATGCATATGCCCACGAAAAGCCATGAACCGGTTCAGTGCAGTATTATTCATAACAGCCCTCAACTGGAAACTCCACAGATGTCCATCAGCACTGGATGTGTAATGTGTGCTGTGTTCACCCAGTGGAATACTACCCAGCAATGAGGTGGATGATCTACAACCACGTACAGTGCAGATGACTCTCATGAGAGAATTTATTGCATGATTCCATTTATATCAGGTGCAAAACAAGTCTATCATCAGAAGTTAAGACAGAGGTTGCCCTGGGGGAGAGGTAGTAATGAGAATGGAATGTGACGGGGCTTCTGTTCTGCTTCTGTTCCATTTCTTGATGAAGGTTCTGTGCTTAGTTTGTGAAAATTCTTCAAGCCCTACATTTAGATATGTGCATGTGTCTTGCAAGTAGGTTATACTTTAGTAAATAGTGAGTGGTTTTTTAAAAAAACGTAGGCAGAAAGGAGTAGTTTTATCATCCTGGAAAAATTGGGCTACCTGCTTAAGGACAATAATATTGCACATCGGACAGAGGTTTTTGCTGAGACAGGGATCTGGGCTGCACGCATTCTGAGCAAATCTCAAACTTCGGAAGAATTCACTGAACCCTTCTTATGGTCATCAAAACAAGGGGCCCTCAAGCCCATGCCCTTGGTGTAACTGGATTACATCCGTCTTCTGGGTCTCCATCACTCCACTCCCCAATTCTCACCCCACCCCAATTTGACTCACAGCCTCCATTCCTGCTTTACAGACCTTCCTTTTCTGCTTGGTTGCTTTTCCTTTTATCTCCAGGTATCTTATTGTCTTGCCATCTGGCATTTTCATTCCATCAACTCTTTTACATTCTTATGTGATTCTTTCTCAACCTCTTTTCATTTTATCACCTGCTTTGGGTGGTTGGGATTTTGCATTAACGTTCCTCATCTTTTTTTATTTATTTATTTTATTTTATTTTGTTTTTGGTACGCGGGCCTCCCACTGTTGTGGCCTCTCCCGTTGCGGAGCACAGGCTCCAGACGCGCAGGCTCAGCGGCCATGGCTCACGGGCCCAACCGCTCCGCGGCATGTGGGATCTTCCCGGACCGGGGCACGAACCCGTGTCCCCTGCATCGGCAGGCGGACTCTCAACCACTGCGCCACCAGGGAAGCCCAACGTTCCTCATCTTTTTAAGCCCTGGTTAAATTCTGGATTCTTTCCTGGTCTTCCTGCCCTGCAAGGCCATGTCTCATCAGGCTGGAGTCTGTCTTTCTCTCTTGGGCTTGTCTGTTTTCCTTCCTATCACTCCTAATGACACAGACACGACCTGATGGGCGGATAGCGCACGTTTTCCTTCTCTTGCTTGGTTTAGTTGTATTCAGCAAATTCCACGCCATGTTTGCTTTGGTTGGGGAGGTGGTGATGGTGGTGTCGAGTCATCCTGTTGAGCCTGCTGGCACAGACTGAGATACGTAGTAAACTGAACATTCTAGGCCTTTTTTTTCACAAGATCAGCGATTTCTGTGCACTTGGTGTTCTGAGCCCGTGAGCCAGATTTTCCATTTATCCTGATTACATTTCAAACGTTAGATTTTATCCATTATTCCAGCCTGTCAAGATATTTTCCAATCTTAATTCAGTCGCCCGAGATCACATTCATCCCCCCAAGCTCCCGATAAGCCTCCATCTCAGCATTCAGTGATGACGGTGCCCGTCAGAGGAGGACAAGCGCTGTGGATGGTGCCTCGGTGCCGACCACGGCTGCTTGCTCCAGATAAAGAGAGAACAGATGATGGACAGCAGCCCAATCAAGGATTTGGTATTTAAAGGATAGACTCTTGGATACTTTTTTTTCTTACGCTTCTGGCTTCCAGTTCAACACCTCAGTTTCTTGGACCTGCTCTTCAAAGGCTGTGGACCAGAGATGGGGGTTGTAAAAGAAAGTTTCAAAGATAGGCTCCTGAGTGGCTTTCCGGCCACTTTTTTGTATTTCCTGTTCTACCCTTGGAGTCCACAGTGAAGACGACCAGAGCGGTAGGCTTTTCAGCTGCATTAGAGAGTGTACACAAACCACCTAACTGTCCAAATGGGGAAACTGAGGTGCAGTAAAATTAAATTCCTGGCCTGGTCTTGACCTTGTTTCTGGACGATGGTGCCAGGGCTGGAAAACTAGTCCCTTTGCTCCAAACTGGACCATCTCAGCCAGGTGACCATGGCCTATGCCTGCTCCCACTTCCTGGAGGGCCAATGTGCCTCCAGAGTTTTCCGGAAAACATTCGTTTCTTTCTTTTTTTTTTTTTGGTACTTAAAATTTTTTTTTATTTTTTTAGTATTTATTCATTTATTTTTACTGTTTAAATTAAAACATTTATTGAAGTATAGTTGGTTTACCTTTGGTAACCGGAAGTCTGTTTTCTATGTCTGTGAGTCTATTTTTGTTTTGTAAATAAGTTCATTTGTATCATTTTTAGATTCCACATACAAGTAATATCATATGCTATCATAATTTTTATTGTTTATTTTTAATGAGTTATAGTTGATGTATGACAATATTATGGAAGTTTTAGATGTACAACATAGTAATTCTCTAGTTTTAAAGGTTATGTTCCATTTATATTTATTATAAAATATTGGCTGTATGCCCTGTATTGTACTGTATATCTTTGTTGCTTATCTATTTTATATATAGTAGTTTGTATCTCTCAATCCCCTACCCCTATCTTGCCCCTCCCCCTTCCCTCTCTCTCACTGGTAACCACTAGTTTGTTCTCCATATCTGTGAGTCTGTTTCCTTTTTGTTATATTCACTAGTTTAGAAAACATTAGTTTCTTATTAAAATATACAAGGATAGATGGTGGCATAGAATGCAAAAACCACTTGGATTTTAAAAATGAAACAAGAGGATCAAAGAAATGTGCATTTACTAATTACTTGGGCCATGGATGCCAGATCCCTCCAACAGTACAAAAATAGATTATTTAACCTCATGGAACAATTTTAAAGAAGAGAAATAAGACTTCAGATAGACGTAATGAATGTAACAGCACTGCTTGTAGAGGTATATCTACGGGGAGGGGGTTCCATCATTTTTTCCTTTCTGCTATTATTATTATAAGCTATTTGTAGAGTGTGGCCAGTGCATAGAATGTAAAAGAAAACGTTTTCTTCCAGCTATGAAACCTTTGTCAGGTTACTGGGTATGTCACGGAGTCCTCTCTATGACATACAGTTTCATTCATTTAGCTTTATGAGGACATCGGCCAGTTCTTGCAAAATTCCAAGGAAGCAGAAGGACTACCTGATTGAGACCCATTTCCCCTGGCTGTGGACTGGCTCTATTATCCACAGTTGACGGTGAGTAACTCTGGATGGCATCCTTTTGTAGGCAAATTTCTAACCAAGACCGTCTTTCAGCTCTGAGCATTGTCGAACTGAATGTTGCTATGAGACTGCAGCTGTTTATTCCCCCAAGATGTTTTCTGAAAGAACTGTGATGGGACTCTGATAACAGAGTGTATTTTTCATAGCTCCGTAATCATTTTTATTCTCTCTTCTTTAAAAAGAAAAAAAGACCCCCACCATTTGTATAACATTTCCCGTGAATACATTAGAATGTTAGAGGGGTGATGCATGCCAGAAGTCTTGGCAGGTAGGAGCCCTTTCCACTGTTTAATTTCTGTTTTAATCTTATGATGTTGTAGAAGGTAGATTTGCCTTGAAAAGCCAAAGATCATCAAGATTTCACTGAATGCTCCAATTGTGTGCATAAAGGGTTAAAAATATCCCCCCCCTCTTTAACCTCTTGGATACCTCTTGGAATAATAGATACAGATACATGGGTTTTAGAGTAAATACGTTATCAATATCTTCTTCAATCACTACCTTGGTGGGTGCATGTTTATTTCACAATAGAGATGTGTATAGAGAATATCTATTGCTTTTGCCTGCCCATTATCCTTTCCTTCTTTTTCAGCTAAAACACCTCAGTTTTCCTTGGGGACCCACTCTCTACAGGGGTGATGGTCAAAATATATAAAAACTGGAGTGACATGGGTACTACCATGCTCGACCAATCAGGGTGGATGTTGACTGTAACAGCCGTTGAACCCAGCCTTCCTCATTAGATACACTTTCAATGAGTCTTGAAACTGAGATGCCCTGCCCTTCCTTCTCCAAGGGCCAGGCAGGAACCAAGCGAGGCCAAACAGATTCTATGTCCTGAGAATTTGCATATTGATCAGCAACACAGGCAGGGCTGAAAACACTTGGCACGGGTGTGTCCCAAAGGTGTGGCTCTGGAAGCGCCAGCTTCCTGTCCTTTCTAAGACTTCATTGCTCAGCTTTTTCTTTGATTCTATAAGCTACCACCATATCCACCCAAAACATTTTGTTTTTTGCTTATATTTCCCGGAATTCATTTCTGTTGCTTGCAAACAAGAAACTCTAAGACAGTAATTCAGAAAATAAGATAGTAAAACAAATTTTCCGTAATGGGAAGGAATCCTGATTTCCTGAGTAATTTTATTATAAAATTGTAGAAATAATTTCGTGGAAGGAAAAAAAAGCCTTCAAAAGAATAAGTAGGAAATATGATGAAAATGAAATTAAGAAAAGCAGAGTTGTGGGGCAAAGCACTCAGTTTACTGGTTGGTGTGACAAAGGACTTGAACTAAATAGAGCAGAAGTGATAAGCTTTCTGTGAGTTGCTATCCCTACCTGGGTTTTTAAAAAAATTTTATTTAAAGTAGCTTCCTACTTTTAGAATTCCCCTTTGACCTTTAGTCACTAGATTAAATCCTCCAGAACATGTTTCTTGAACTCCAATGCACATATAAATTGCTTGGAAGATTTTTCTTTTCTTTCTTTCTTTTTCTTTCTTTCTTTCCTTCTTTCCTTCTTTCCTTCTTTCCTTCTTTCCTTCTTTCTTTCTTTCTTTCTTTCTTTCTCTCTCCCTCGCCCTCCCTCCCTCCCTCCCTTCCTTTCTTTCTTTTGCACCAGGTCTTAGTTGCAGCACACGGGGTCTTTAGTTGCGGCATGCGGTATATTTTTTAGTTGCAGCTTGTGGACTCTTAGTTGTGGTATCCATGCGGGATATAGTTCCCTGACCAGGGATTGAAACCGGGCCCCCCTGCACTGGGAGCATGAAGTCTTAGCCTCTGGACCACCAGGGAAGTCCAGATCTTTTTCTTTTTAATGTAATATTTTATTTGTTGAGGGGTGGATACATCCTTCATTTCTTTCTTTCTTTTTTTTTGTGATAAATTTATTTATTTTTGGCTGCATTGGGTCTTTGTTGCTGTGCGCAGGCTTTCTCTAGTTGTGGCGAGCGGGGGCTGCTCTTCCTTGCGCGGGCTTCTCATTGCGGTGGCTTCTCTTGTTGCAGAGCACAGGCTCTAGGCGTGCAGGCTTCAGTAGTTGTGGCTCGCGGGCTTTAGAGCGCAGGCTCAGTAGTGGCGCACGGGCTTGGTTGCTCCATGGCATGTGGGATCTTCCCGGACCAGGGCTTGAACCAGTGTCTCCTGCGTTGGCAGGCAGATTCTTAACCACTGTGCCACCAGGGAAGCCCCACCCCCCCCTTTTTTTTTTAATTGAAGTATAGTTGATTTACAACATTGTGTTAGTTTCAGGCGTACAGCAAAGTAATTCAGTTACACATACATATATATCTATTTTTTTCAGATTATTTTCCCTTATAGGTTATTACAAAATATTGAGTATAGTTCCCTATGCTTTACAGTAGGTCCTTGTTGGTTATCTATTTTACATATAATAGTGTGTATATGTTAATCCCAAATTCCTAATTTACCCCTCCCCCCTTCCCCTTTGGTAACCATAAGTTTGTTTTCTATGTGTGTGGTGAAGGATCTTATTAAAATGCAATCTGGGGCTTCCCTGGTGGCGCAGTGGTTGAGAGTCCGCCTGCCGATGCAGGGGACATGGGTTCGTGCCCCAGTCCGGGAAGATTCCACATGCCACGGAGCGGCTGGGCCCGTGAGCCATGGCCACTGAGCCTGCGCGTCCGGAGCCTGTGCTCCGCAAAGGGAGAGGCCACAACAGTGAGAGGCCCGCGGACCGCAAAAAAAAAAAAAAAAATGCAGTCTGATTTTACATTTCCATCAAGTCCCAGTGATGCCAGTCAGTGCTGCTGGCCAGAGGGCCACAATTTGTACAGCGAGGTTCCAGGTCAGAATATTTTGCTCCAGCCCAGGTTTCTCAGATTCCCCATTCAGGGCTTCCAGACTACCTCCCTTTGTCTCTGTAGAGCACACTTGTCATACCACTCCAAGCCGGCAGGCAGCAACAGCGCCCTCCTAGAGTCCCCGCTGAACTGATTCCTCGCCAAGAACCAGTTGGTATATTTCAGAAAGATTCACATAAAGGGAGCTTAAGAATCTCCAAAGTAAGCGTATTTCATAGCATTTGGTTATAGTTTGAACCTCCAAGCAAAATGACCACTGAGGGGGGAATTCTTGCTAAGTATTTTGATAACCCTTTCTTTTTTCTTCTGATTTAAAAATCATCTGTCCGTGCCTCACTGTGGAGACTTGGCTCTCTACATTTGTAATTGGAAAGTAAGAGGTGCTTTAGCAAAGCCTGCTGCAGTTAGATTTTAGAGGGCTTTCTCACGTGTTATTGTACTGCTACAAGAATCTTTACTACCGCTATTATTCCCATTTTACACATGAGAAAACAAAAGCGCAGAGAAGAGGATTTAGTGACTTGCCTACTGCAAGAAAGGGAGTGAGGAACAGATGAGATACAGCCTTGAGCTTCTGCTCAAAACCCTCAGTCTTTACTGTGTATGGAGAAACAAACAACTACAACAATAACAACAAACAAACAACACAAAAACCCAACACCTGTGTGCTTTTCTGCATTAAACCTTGTTCTTCTCAACAACGTTGAAATTTAGCTAATCTTTGTTAAGGATAATGGTTTAAACTTGAGGAATTCCTGGGTTCCTGATCACAGGAACTGGAATACAGAGAGTTCTGGGCATAACTTCTCCCTAAATACAATGATACACTTTGGATAAAATGATCTGTGGTTGCAAGTCTTCTAGAAACTTTGTATTTATTTACCACAGCCAAGGAGTCCCTGTCCTACACGTGGTATCAAAGTTCCCTTTGAAAAATTTCTGGGGAGGTTAGGCGTTAAAGTAGAGGGAACATTTTGAATACACTTAGAATAAAACAAAGGCTTTTTTGTGCTTGCATGGAGGGGAGTTTAGGGGAGTCGATGTCTCATCTTGGAGAACCTCCCACAGGTTTTGCAGCCACAGTAAACTCTGGGGGCTACTCCCACCCCCTTCCTTCACCCCTCCCCCCACCATCCAATCTGGTGCAAGGAAGTTGCTGTCACCCCAAAGCCAAGCATAGCGGGTTCTTGAGCATCGAATCTCAGGGTGGGAAGGGCTGCTATGGGTGATCTCGAGGAAACTCAAGATCTTCAAGCATTGTGCAAAATGGGTTCTGTGGGATGTTAACACACAGCATTAGGGGGGCAGTGTTTCCGTGGTCACACTACGGGTCAGTTGAGAAACACTGATTTAAATGAAGTCACAGAAGTTTCTTTTCCCCAGGGCTTTTTGGAGGTGTTCATGTGCGTGTGTGTGCGGAGGGGAGATCTTTAAGAATGGGGCTTGTGCTCTGCTTCCCAGTTAGGAGATGAAGGAACCTCTTGTTCCTGGAACATCTGAGGCTTACAGAACACCCTGTGAAAATCCTCATCTAGTTCATCTTGCCCCACAGACAGTGCCAGCTCCATGGCAAGTGCAGTCACGGGGCCCAAGATCCCTTTAATGCTCTGCTGTCACCATCTTGAAATTCTTAGTAAGTTCTGAGCAAGGAGCTCTGGTACCCGAAAACTGGGTTCACCTCTTGGTGGGTGTTGAGCCAATAGACAAAACCAAGTCAAAGATCTGGAGAAGGAAGGATTTATCATTACTTGCAGCAGGTAAGGGGAACACTGGGGATCAGTGTCTCCCCAAATAGCAAGATTGGGGAAGTTTTAAGCTAAGGGTCCATGCACATTCATGAATGGGCTTGAGCAGAGGAGAATTCAGCGTAGAATTGGGGCAAAGGTCGACAGAGTCCAAGCTTTAGTTGATAGAAGTCACGAGGGTCCACATCATCATTCCTTCCTCCACCTGGGTGGGGACTTTAGTTCCTGCAGATCGCAAAGATGCATATCAGATTGTTATATATATCTCTCTTGAGGAGGAACTAGGACTCTGTTTTATTGCTGAACTATTGTTTCTTGACAGCTCTTCCTTCATTCCTGCATACCCTCACTTCTCTTAAGATCCTTGATTACTGAGACCTGTTCAAGGGCAAGCACTGTGGCCAGACTTA